CCCCACTCTATGCAGAGTATGCAGTGGGAACAGTATACGTGATAATCACTGAGAATTTCCCCGAAGAAATAAAAACAAAAAAGCACCAAACCTCTAGTATTTTGTTAAAACTGCAGTCCACGACATGGGCACTCCGAAATGTATTTAACCCAGTGGTTCTCAGCTGAGGGTGATACTGGTACCTCTAGAGAGTGTTTCAGAACGTTTGTGGGGACAAGGTCGTTTTTTTGGTGCTTACTATGAAGGGGATGCTACATTGGGCACCTGCTGTTAAACTTCCTACAGTGCGTAAAAAACTGGGCTGTCAAAAAGGCCCAAAGTACTCCTGTTGAGAACACTGATTATCAATCTCTTCTTTGTGAACTTTAGGTTGATTCCAAATCTTTGTTACCATTAACATTCGTTTTGTCCTTGCTCAGATTGTCTTGCCTAATTGTCTCTTAGATGCACTTCTAGAAGCGGAATCATGGATCAAAGAGTCTCCACATTTTACAGTCTTGATACAAACTGATGTTCTCCAGAAATATATGGTATTATCTCTAGAAAAACAGTATTTTCATTTCTTTCACTAGTAGGTCAGTTGAATATCTTTTTATATGTTTACTGGTATTTAGCATTTTAAAATTTGAAATCTGCTTATTTATGTGTCTAACATATTCTTCTACTACAGTATTTTTCTTTTTTTATTTCAGCTTTATTGAGGTACAACTGACAAGTAAAATTGTAAGATATTTAAACTGTACATCATAGTGACTGGATATCCGGATGTCATTGTGAAATGATTTCCCTCACCTAGTTAATTAGTGTTCAACTTTTCTTACTGACTCAGAGCTCTTGAACTTTCTAGGAACACTAATTCCACTATAAATGCTATAAATTTTTTTCTGTTTGTCATCTGTTTTTCAATGTTGTTTCGTTGTTTTTTTTTTCTATACAAAATTTTTCTGCTTATGGCAATCAAATCTATCTTTCCTTTGTGCCATTTGGGATTTGTAATGCATAGAAGTCGTTTTCCCCACTTCAAGATTACAAAAATGACAATCTTGTTTTCTTCTGTGGCTTCTGTGGTCTCTTTTATGATCTGAAATGAATCTGAAGGTGGGAGGTGGTGCTTTACGTAGTGCTAGGCTGCTATTATGAGCTGGCTCGTTCGTTTTCGTTTACTTTGATAATGACTGTGATCTCAAGATTTATCTAGTAGCAACTACCTTACTGAATTCTCTCCTAAATTTTAATAATTTTCCTTTGGGGTTTTGATGTAATAATCACATTATACACAGTAACAAATTTTCTCTTCTTTCTTCTTTTCCTGGCCTAACACATTACCTAGAAGTTCCAGAGATGCTAAGTAAGAATGTTGGTTTTCGGCATTATTTTCTGGTCTCTGACTTTAGTGGGAAGATCTCTCATGTCTCTGAGTTACATGCAACGTTTGTTAGTGGGATGATCAATGTTCTCTTTTTAAAAATATTTCTCACCTTCTTAAAATGCATAAGGCACTTTTAGAGATGCTTTAGGTAGTCTACCTCTTTTAAAAAGCTGTTTAAACATGTATGAATAGATGTCTTCTTTCACTTTTCAATACAATTCCTAAGTAAGCAGAGGGTTAGCCATGCCTGCAGGATCAGTTACAAGTCAAGGAAGAAATCTGGTCTTACTTCATGGGCACACTTTATTTTTCTTTCAACATCATTTCGCAGTTTCTCTGTCTACTTTTCTCATGAAACTTGGCTCCTGCTAACTTCTGGCAAGACTATGCCATAGAAAATAAGAGCTACTGCCAAGAGGGTCCTCAAATGTTTTAATCAAGAGACTAACCTCTCCAAGTGGCCAGTCTAGCGATGACAACGTACTTACAGATACAAAATCTCTGTCTTGTCTCAAAAGACATGTCACTTTTTTTCACTCTAGGGACAAAAATGTAAATTCTAGAAAAGCTGACACTGTAAACTTAATCAAAAATTTCAAGGGAAAAAAAAAAGAATAAAATGAGATGCTACACACTGGATACAGGAGGAGAGGGAACACCTTCTTACCTGTACTTCAATTTGTAGGTCTTTGTCCAGCAACGCTCTCTTTTTTAGTATTTCGGCTTTAAGCTGCTCTTTGTGTTTGAAAAGCAAAGCAGAGAGCTTGCTAGCATTCTGTTTGCTGCGTTTCTGCTCCACGCTCTCTTCTCGCTTCCGTTTTTTTGCGGCCTGCTTTTCTTCTTTGTCTATCTTATCCAAAATATACTTCATCACCTGGTTACACACAATCATTCTAGAGAGAAATACAAAACCTATGTAATGCTGGGCGTTTCATTCTGAAAGGCTTAAGACATGATTTTTCTATGTCTACAGCTGATAAAAACTTTCGGTGAGTGGAAAGCTTCAAAGAGTGATTCAAAACAGTTATGAGCACCTATTGTATTAGTGCTGAATGTTCTCATTTAATAAACTTCAATCAAGACAAAAAAATTTACAAATTCAGAACTCCCGTGCCCTGTACATGAGAAGAAACTGAGACACAGCGAGATCCTGTGCAACCGGGTGATAAGCATTTCTCCCTACCTCTGATTCTCTTCTCTTTCAGCTGGAGTCATGGTCTTTTTCTGTTTTAAATGTTCTATTACAGCATTATGCTTCATCACCACCTTCAGGACAGAACAAAATCCAAAAGTGTGTATTTCATAATGGCTACAAGTCGGTATACAGGTAACAGAAATCGGAGCACATGCAGAGGTTTTCCAAAGAAACTGCAAGAACTTTATATCACAGTACAAATAAAATCAGAGCCACTGTACAGCCCGAGTGCTCACCAGGTACCGGGCACTGTGCTAAGGGAACCGCTTGATATTACCTCATCCATTCCCCAGAACACTGAAAGGTAGGGACACTGAGACATAAAGAAATTACTAACTTGTTTGAGATTAAAAAATACGGCTGTGATTTTAACCCAGCTCTCATTCTCCAAAGACCATGTTGTGAACATTATGCTCTCCTTCCCAGGCATTCATTTTACCAATCCCCGCCTTCTACAAAGATTAGGGTAAAGACAGTTGTAATTATTCTCGGTTCATGGACCACACAGTACTAAAAGCTGGATAATAACGCATTTTAACATATTATATGTGATGTCAATTTTATAAGAATATTATACCTCTTAAATCCCTCTGCTGTTTAAAACATGCTTCTAACAATACCATATCGTAATCATCAAACTTGCTAAGAGACTAGATATTAATTATTCCAACTAAAAAGAAATGATAATTATGTGATGTGATAGAGGAGTTAATTATCGCTACAATGATAATCATACGACAATACATAAATGTATCAAATTAACAAGTCATATACCTTAAATTCACACAACAGTATACATCAAATATGTTTCAATAAAAAATAGCGTCACATAAAAAGTGCTTATATAAAAAGTGCTTCTACATACATGACCTCATTTAATCATTACAATAATCCTGCAGGCTGAAAAGAGAAGAGGGTTTTTATGACGATATAGCTGAGGGGAGGTGAGTGAGTTTCATGGACCGTGAAAGGGAGACCCAGGAACTGAATGCTGGTCTCATGACTTGGGAACACTTGAAATCCACACTCAAACTCCTGACCAGTGCTGAGTGGTAAATGCTGCAGACGCAAAGAAAACTTCCTCCAGTGACACCACAGGACATTGTCATACGTGCGACTTCATTTTAAGGAGAATAATTCTCACTCATCTTAACTGCCTTATTTCCTAAGATGCTACTACTGCACGATGCCACTTTTATTTAAGCTACGCAGTAAAAAGTACTTAAAACTTGTTTACAAAGGTGCTGCTGGAAATACACATGAGTTTAATCTGTCTGTAGAATTTGCTTAGTCTACATGCAAACCAAGGAATGACAACTGCAAATAAATGCAAACAAATTGCTATGATGCCTTTAAAATCTTAAACCTTCAATTTTGTATCAATGATACTTGAACTCCTAACTCCACTCTTCCCATCTTAGTTCTCCCAAAATGCGGGTCGTTTTCCCGGTAAGCACTGACGGTCTAAATCTAGTAAGAGCTCCAAACCGTAATAGTCATTCAGTACGTTTTGGTCAATCCAGTGCTGCTTCTAACTCGAAGCATCAATGACTTTAGTCTCATTTAAGGAAAGCTAACACAACCAAACACTAAGTCTAATGCACAGCACAATAATTCAAGCTACTGAACATGCTGCTTTACTTAATGACTTTACCTGTTTCTGAATGATTTCACTTTGATTAGAAGCTTGGAGGGTGTGTTCCCGCTTAATTTCTATCTGTTGCTGTTTCTTCTTTTGCTGCTGATCCCTGAGTTGCTGAACCCTTTGCAACTGCTCTTGCACACTGGCTGCCTGCACTGTAACCACATTCTGAATCTGGTGGGTCTGCACAGGACTGCTTGGCTGAATTTGAATGGGCAACTGGAGTTTGATCTGCTGGGGCACCCCACCTTGCTGAGCCTGTATCTGAGCCACAACCTGCGACTGGATCTGAGAGAGAACCTGGACTTGTGGGTGCAGCTGCGGTACAGCGAGGCCTGGGGGCTGTGGCTGCTGTACTTGAGGCTGAGGACGGGATGGGGATGAAACAGTAACTTGACTTAACGTTTGTCCTGATGAAAGAGTTTGAGTTGAAGACTGTACCTGGGGCTGTGACTGTGGCTGGCCCTGGGAAGGTATCGGAAGAGATGTATGTGGCTGAATTGGAATCGGTTGTGAGGCTGCGGTCTGAACCTGGGACTGCTGTCCGGGAGACACTTGGGATGGAGTTGATGGACGTATTCGAGTCTGTGGTGGACTTTGGACGCGAGCAGGAGACTGTCCTTGGACATTACTCTGAGGCTGACACTGCACTGCAACTTGGGGTTTGGATGGCTGTGCTTGGGTGGGCTGTGCTTCAGGAGGGACATGGGATGCAACAGTTGTTGGGGTCTGAGCTTCAGGCTGAGTCTGAACTTCAGGCTGAGCTGGGGACAGGGGGCTGGGCTTGGGGCGGGGGCTGAGCTGAAGGCTGAGCGCTCTGAGCAGTCTGAGGCTGGGCTTCTGGAGGACTCACACTCGACGACTGAGCTGGTGGCAGGGTTTTGGCTTGTGGCACCTGTGTCGGGGGTGATAATTTACTCTGTTTTTGTTCACCTGTACCTGTGAAAAGGAAAGACCAAATATTTCTTACTCTAGAACAAAAGACTGTGGTTTAAGAAGACTTTGAAGCGGATTTTCCAAAGGTGAGAATTCTGTATTTCAGCACGTAAGACTGATGCCTTAGAAATGCTCCAGTTAGAAACATGTGGGTTAGGACTCTCCTAAGCTGGGAACGTGGACCCTGCTCACGGCCACCCCCTGCACATTTTTCTAAGTCTCCAGACGGCTGGCTTCTGAAGCAAGGTGCGGTCTCTGGAAATCAGCCAGGTCTGCTGGTCCAGGCTGAGGCCACCCCACATTTCTCACCTATGGCGTGAGGGCAGCCAGCGACAGAGGCCTGCGGGAGGAGGCTGACAGTGTGGCTCTCCCTGCAGCTCTCCATCACTGGTTCTGAGCAGGATATGCCCGCCTGCCCTGAGTGCACCTCCACGACTCAATCAGTGCCTACAAGGCTTGGAGGAGTAAGTGTGGGCACAGGTATCGTGACATTTTCCTGTTTTGTGCCACCCCCCTGATTTCCATATTTCTTAGGGAGGATGGTGGTGACAGGGAGTCTGTAAGGGCAAGAGATCTTGTCAAGATCTTGTGAGGCTGACCAGTCAGCTGGCAAGTTCACGGGCGTGAGGCTCAGCCTCTCAGTGGTAAGCACCAGTGCCCCCTGCCCTGTCTGTTAGCCCAGCGACTTGTGATGAGAGCACGCAGCACTTGTGACAATCCCCAAGTCCTACCTGCTGCTGTAGTGGAAACAGTGGTGGTGGTGGTGCTGGCGGCTGTGGCTGTTGTTGCCAACGGGGTAAAGAGGAATCGCTGCACGGTACCATTTGGCATCGCAGCCTGCATCAGCTGCTGCCCTGGGCCGGGCAGGACCGTCACCCCTTGAGGTATCAACTGCAACTGCCCAGTAGTTTGACCTTGTCCTTGAATTACTACCGTCAAACCTTGATTGCCACCCTAAGGAAAAAACACACAACATGTAAATAGTCTTCGAAGAATCAATCTGCAAAGTATACCTTTTTTATGTTGAAAAATATAAAATAATGAAAATATGTATGTTAATGTCTACGGAATGATACCAAAAAAATTGAGATAAGCCAAAATAAGAATATTTAACTGATGTTTAGTGGGAAACAAAATGAACTAACAATCCAGAGTTCCAGCCCAAGTTCTCCAAATGGAGAGCCAGGTATCTACAAGCAACAGCACATCTCTGGATCTGTATTTCCCAATCTATAAAATAAGGGCATTGAAGTGAATGACTAAGGTCTCCACAGAATTCTGATTTTAAACCATATTAGTTATATTCATATTATTTTATAACTTTCAAAGCATCTTTAGATGTAGTGCCTCAGTTGAGTCTCATAATAGACTTGTGAAAAAAAAAAAGACTATAAAGTAAATAGCTACTGTTCTCACTGATAACTAAGTGAAGCCTAATTGTGTGGTTTTAGTCTCAATTAAAATTGCTGAAAATGTGAAAGCCTTAAAAAAAAATAATAATAGACTTGTGACTTTGTGGAGCAGAGAGAGAAAATATTACTACATCTCACTACCAACTAGAAAAATCAAGTGAGAAAGCTCAGGTCCCTTGCCCAAGTTAGAGGCCAAGTTCAAGGTGTGACAAAATGAAAAGCCCAGGTCTCCTAGATTCAGTTTTTTCACTAAGACCAAATGACCTAGGGTGTGTGCTAGTGTGTGCTGGAGGACAGAAAGCTCAGGGTTTTAGACGTGAAATGCAAACACCACGTCGGGAAGGTCACTAGTATCAGTCGTCATCAAAGTGGGACTGGGCTCTGAATACTCTGTATGTACTGTTCTGTCCAGGACTTCTTAATCCTTAACCACCAGGAACATGGTGGAGAATTAGAAAACAAACATAAAAACAACCCACCCCAGATTCCCAACAGCCAGAACTAATGCTACAAAGTTCATACAACAATACTAAGCTCCATGGACTTTCTTTATTCATGAGTCCCTTACTCTCGCTTTTCTACAATATTTTTGTGTACATTCAAAACTACATAAAACACCAAGTGCTGTTTAAAGAATAATTATAAAGTGAACATCTATAAAACCAGCATTCAGGTCATCACTGCCAATATCCAAGAAGCCCCCCCAGTGACCTGCTCTCATCTTAATTCCCCCATTTCCCCTGAGAGGTAAGCATTGCTCTCACTGTCACAATAACTGCATTTGTTCATAGTGGTACCACTCAGGTATAGATCTTTACAGGGACGAAGGCTCCTAACTTCAGGAGCACCATTCATGAAGACCATGATGGGGATGGTGGCCCCTCCAGGGAGGCAGTGCAGCAGCCCTGTATCCCTAAACAATACAGCTAGTGTTGCTTGTTTCTGAATGTTAACACAAACAGATCACAATGTAAGTTTGTTATCTGCTTCTTCCGCTCAACGGTGTAGTTCTATGTGGCTATAGTTTGTTTATTTTCATTGCTGTAGGAAGGTACGATTTATCTAACTGATTACAGACTGACATTTGGGTTGTTCCCAGTTTTTGACTCTTAACAATGCTGCTGTATATTCATGACCATTATCCAGGTGCTCAGATGAGTAAGAACTTCTCTAGGGAATACACCTAGAAGGAGCACCACTGTGACCTGGGGCGTGCTCGCCTCTGACTTTGCTTTGGTTAAACCGATTCATACTACCCAGAGCTGTGTGTAGCAGTTCATTCTACTCCAAGTCTTTGCTCTCTTGATTCTGTCTGACACTTTAATTTATACCAGTCTCTTAGGTATATGCTTTTAATATGTGTTTTCCTCATTATTAACAAAATTCAGCAGTTTTCTGGATTTGTGGACATTTAGATTTCCTCTTTTCTCATGAAGTTTGCTTGCTCTTCTTTTCTCCTGAGCTATCTGAATTTTTTTTCCCTTCTTAATTTGTACTAGTAATTCTTCATTCTGGGTAATAGTCCTTGGTTGGTTGTATCCATACCTTCTCTCATTCTTTTCATTCTTTTATAATATTGATGAACTGAAGTTCTTATTTTTAATGTTGTTGAAATTATAAATCTTTTCCTGTATGGCTAGTATTTTCTGTCTTTAAGAAAGCCTTTCCTACCTTCTAAAAGTATAATAGTTTTACCTTCCACAGTCAGGATGTTTTTCTTCCTGGAACTGAGTTTATGAGTGAGATAGTGGTCCAATTTCATGGTTTCCCACGTATGCTCAATTGTCCCAGGACCATTATTAAACTCTTTCCTTACAATGATCTGCAATGTCATGTACCAAGTGTCCACAAATGTCTGGGTCACTCTCTGCACTTTCTACTGTTTAGTATCTGTTGGTCTGTCTACCTTTGTGGCTGTACCTTACTGTATTAAGTAGTGAAGCACTGTAGTAAATTTTGATATCAGGTTACCACATGGGGCAAATCCTCCTGTTGTTCAAAAGTGTTACAGATATTCTCCATCCTTTGAACTTCCCTAAAAATTTAAAAAATCACCTTGTCAAGTTTCAAAATATATCTCTTGGGATTTTGATAGGAATTGCATCAGTCTATTGCTCAGTATTGGAAGAACTGATAATACTGAATGTTGTAAGGAAACAGCTTAATGTACTCAAATTTTATTTTTCCCAAGCAAATTGGTTAACTAATAAAATTTTAGTGGTTAAAAGGGTTACCCATCTTGCTGTTATAACTCATGATCTAAGGACTCTGGATAGGTGAGGGAAGTATTTTTGTTTGACCCCAGGAAGCAGCCATTTCTTACAATAAGTACATTTTAAAACTTCTGAAAATACGTCCATATTTTAAAACTTACAGCAAGAATAAACAAGATCATTTCTAAAGGTAAAATGCCAGTTACATGACTTACGTGGCCCTGCGTTAGCTGAGTGAGTTGAGCCATGGTCAGCTTCACCTGTCCTTGCTGGGGGCGAGGGGACTGGGAGGCTGAAGACTGCAGATTTGCACTGGGTGCTCCTGAAGGTAGCCCCTTCTGCGCAGGTGCCGAGGGGACTGTGCTGGGGGCAGAGATCGCAGTGGAAACCGGCTGCCCTCTGATGATCTGCGTCACCACCTGCTGAGGAGCACCTATGTGAACAGCAGAACATTAGCGTGCTCACGTGCCTTTAGCAGGAGGCTGAGGTGAAACACTGTTCAACACTACAGATGAATGCATTCTTCTGAATTTTCAGTAAGATGCACAGGACGCCAACAAAGGCTACACCCAGTCACACACCCACACCCAGAGGACCCTGCCTTCACTCAGCTTGCTGACAGCCATTCTCCAGTTCCTGCTGTCTGTAGCAGAGGGGAAGAAACAATTAATGTTCTTCCTATGAGTCTAAAGCCAAAATGACAATAGGGAAGATTGAAGAGAGTATGTAAAATGTGTCATTATTAGGCTGCCTTTCCTTAGGAATATAAATTTAAAAATAAGATAATCTAATTATAATTAATTCATGTGATTTTAAACAAGTTGTACGGAATCTGTAATATTCTGAGCCAATTATATTTATATATGAGCTTTTCTCATTGCTATTTGCCATACAGCTTGGAAGAACCATGAGGGCAAGAACCCTCTGTCTCCAATTCTAGAGCAACGTGCTCAGCAAACGCTTCCACAGTTACTGTTAAATAAACATTCACAGAGCAAATGAAGTTTAACTGAAATGGCTCTACAACCTTCTAAAAATTTCAGTTTCTCATTCACCTTGATGAAATGGAAGAAGAGGCAGGTAGTAATTATTTGGTAGCTAATCTTACATTTACAAAGTCTGAATTCATTATGAATGAGTAAAAAAGCCACAGTTCTAAAGGTTTGTATTCACTTCCTGTTTTTCCTTCTACGTGTATATATGTATTTCTGTGTATATTTCTTTTAATGACCAGAGTTTAATACTGCATTATGTGTAAAATTGAACCTATGCTGACATTTAGAACACTTTCCCTTTTTCTTTTTTTAAATAACATCATAGTGAAATCCCTGCTTATAAATTTTTAAGTGCTTCTAATTATTTCCTTAAAACAAACTCCTCCCAAAATTACTGGGTTCATAGTATGAACATAAGATAAAACTGAATTTTAGAAAGGTTATACCCAATCATGTTCCCACCACCACTGGGCGCCCACTTCACTAACGCCTGCCAATACTACCACTGGAGTAACATATCCCAGCAGTCAGAAACAGTACGACAGCATTACAGTATCTGTATTTCTCCAGTCGGTCTAGTTTCCTTTGGTATCACCCTCCTAAATTCTGGTGGCTTGTAATATGCTTTAACAACTGGCAGTGTAACTCTTCCATCATTACTGTTTCTTCTAAGCATTTCCTGGTTATTCTCACCCATTTATTCCTCAAGATGAATCAAAAAACAGTATATACAGACAAGTGCTTGAATGTGAGAACCTCCAGGGCCCAACACTTTGTCCTTGTACTGCAGTTTGAGGAACAGTTCATGAGAAGTTACTCTAGTTTATCACCTGGTATTGATACGGTGTCATCATAAAGGGCTGGTACTGACTGATTACATGGTGGTCATTCAGATGATCCCCAGTATGTTCAGGTTGATTTATTTTGAAATTATCAATCAAAATGCAAATTCAAAAATAAAAACTTTTTTTAAAACATCCTGGGAGTGTTCAACTTTGGGAAAAGCTAGTGTTGTGGTAGGAATAGGGGTAAGCAGACCTGCACACACTCAGACACACACCGTCCTCCACTTCTTTGACCGTAACTCTTAAGACCCACCAGCCCCACTGGCCACCTTGTTTTTTCTACAACATACCAGACACACTCATATGTGAAGCCACATATTCACATATGCAAGTAGACACGTAGTTGCAGCTACATAAGGCATTAAGAAACAAAGGCTCTCTACATGCAGAGTACCATCTGGTAATTTACCAAATGTTTCAGTTATCTGTTATTACCACTTATCATCTTTAAATGTTTCTTCTTCTTTACATTAGTTTTAGCTTTCTTTTTAGTTAGCTGCCTGATGGCTATTTTTAAGATTTTATTTATTTATTTTTTAAAGGTTTGGGGGGGGGCGCATTAGATTAGGTTTGTTTGTTTATATATTTTTTTTGCCTTTTTATTTTTACTTTTTTGCACATTCACATTATATTGCATGTAAATACACATATACAGTATATTACTTTTTTTAGTTTACATATATGTGC